GCATGCAAGAATATCTGCACTTTGGCAGAGTGGAGGATCTGGTAGGCCTGAATCACAGAATGGCCAGGGTTGGAAGGGACCTCAAGGATCACGAATCTCCAACCCCCTGCCACATGCAGGGCCACCAACCTCCACATTTAATACTAGACCAATTAAAGCTAGACCAGGCTGAGCAGGCCCCCATCCAATCTGGCCTCGAACACCTCCAGGGACGGGGCATCCACAACCTCTCTGGGCAGCCTGTTCCAGTACCTCACCACTCCCTCTGTAAAGAACTCCCCCCTAACATCCAACCTAAATCTCCTCTCCCTCAACTTAAAACCATTTCATCCTGCAGTTATCTACCCTTTCAAAGAGTTGATTCCCCTCCCCTCTGTAGGCTCCCTTTAGGTATTGAAATGCTGCAATGCGGTCACCCCGCAGCCTTCCTTTCTCCAGGCTGAACAAGCCCAGCTCCCTCAGCCATCAGGCACAGTATTGAGATGATCCAGGATGCGTGAGTCAGACAAGGATGGAAAAGGTCACAGCACGTAACTGGCAGGACTGAGAGTTGTCATCTTCCTCGCTTTCCCTTTCCAGCTCAGAGAACAAAGGGCTTAACTGTTCATTGGGCTCATCGCCTCAGCTTAGGACATTTAGCTTGGGAGAGAGCCTGTCTCTCCCTTTCATCTTACTGGAAAGTAGAAAGGAGTCAACCCAGAGCCAGAGCTGGCGTTAGACGCCATTAACAGAGGCATCTCATAATCAACACTGTATTACAACAAGGCTGTGAAACACCTCCAGGCTTGGAAGAGCTTATTGCCTTCTCACCTGGTTGCAGTAACCCTGCTGCCAACCAGCAATCAATGAGAAATTATCTTTGCTACTAACTTTTGCAAGTATGCTGCCATGGTGGAAACCAACGCTGGTTCTAGCAATTCCATTATCTCTCCTTTAGCTCCTACCCCCTTCATGCAGAGGGTGCAGAGAACACGCATACTGCTTGCACTCTCTCCAGTGCCAAAAGAGATTTTAATACATAAGAACATAAAGAAAAAAAAAAGCATAATGAGACTAATGCTAACACACACACTACATTTGTAAACAGCTCTGAGTATTAGTGCTCTGGCAGTGATTTGTGGTAAATCTTCAGAGCTCCTGAGGCATTTGCAGAGCAATCTTCTCAGATATTCTGTAGAGGTTTTGAGTTAATCAGTCTTTTTACAGGTACAGAAAAAAGCCTCGCCCAGAGCGCTGGAAGGAACAGCGTATGATGTTGGTGACATGCTCCAGTAAAAGCACAAGGTTTCTGCATTGGAAAACAAGGTTCGGATCATTAAGCAAACTTATGTTGTAGAAAGGGAAGGAAAAGAAGGGGAAAGCTCTCAGCTTCGATTATACCCCAGCTTCCAAGGGACCCGTGTAGGCTGCAAGTACACAGCAGGGACAAAGCACTTTAAGTGGAATACTCAACCGCACAAAACACTCAAAGATAACCCACTTCTTCTGTAGCTGCCTGTGATGTCCTAGTTGCTAGGTTGCTACTTGCTAGTTTGGTGGAGTACCGTGGGAGGGGACAAAAGGAAAAAAAACCAAGCAAGGAAAAAAAGAAAAAACATATTTTAAGTTCTCCTGTGGCTATTCAGATGCATCTAGATTGATGCTCCCCACACTGCTTAAAACTAAAGGACAAACTGGAAATGAGTAACACTAAAAGTGTTATGACAACATAGGAGAAAACAACAGTCACTACAAGTCATTCTCAGCAAGGACGAGACAAAGTTAGGGACAGTTTGAAGAACAGGATAGCCAACGGCTTGTCAGCTGAGAGCATTAAAAGAAACATTTCTGACCGATAGAGATGATACCAGGAACAACAAAACCAAAACTACTCACTGCCCTGCTTTCTGCAGGTAACCAAACCCAGTGGCTCCCCAACTGGCTGCAGTTTGCAAGTAGGAAGAATCCTTTCCTCAGCAACAAGCGTACAGTATTTCCTAACACGGAAAGAAAACAAATCTGTAACACTTCTCACAGGCACACTTGCACTCATCTTGTAGCTTACACGCAACCTTTATTGTGTAGATGTACAATTAAGAGAATCCCACACGTAAAAGCATGACACATTCTGAATTAATGATGTTAAACAGAACTCTTGCTTTGTAAAAAACAGTTTTTCCATTTCAGTTCCCTCCTTACTCTCTCATTACAGTTCCCTCCCCTTGCAGGAGACGCTGTCACACCAGCAACTCCACGCAGCACAAAAACAGTTTTGGTAAAGGCGACCGTGCAAATGCAAGGGAACTTCGTTTTTTGAAAGCTACAAGCAACTGCATAACTCAGGCTTTGTTTCCAACAGCAGCTGAAAACCCAAGGGCTGCAGGCAGCCTGGTACAGATATCCACAGCATGAACTAAATCTCATGTATATGAATGGCTGTACAACGCAGATCCACATTAGTTTCTCTGCAGTGTCAAATTGGTATCTAGCTCTATTGTGTTTAAAAAATAATAAAAAAAAGCCCTTGTAGTTTTTATGACTCAGACTGTTTGTGAACAGCCAATAAAAAATGGCAATTGTCAGCTTGATTGTGCTAACACATCTGTTCTCCATAATGATGCAGTAACAGGAACTCTTCCTCACCAAGAGCAGTGGAAGCAGAGCATTTCTCTGAGCATAGAGTTAACGTGTGCAAGCCAAGAGAAAGCAAAATAGCTGGCAGCCCTGAGGTTTCAGCAAACACCAAATAGCTGTGACGTTACAAATCCGTGACTCTACCAAAGCAGATCACATCCTTCTGGGAACAGAAGTCTGTGTAGCAATAATAAGGCCTGCCCAAAAAACAGAACACGCTTCAGTTAGCCTGAAGATCTGTGTGTCCATGTAAACACTGAATGCTTCTCAGAAAGAAAAAGTTACGCTATAAAAATCAACTCATGTAACTAAAAAACGAACTTGATAAAATTAAGCACGATTTCTATAAACATCATACAGAAAGCGTAACAGCTAATCAGAGCCATCAAAGAAGTTGAGGATTTTGTCCAGCTGCCGAGCTGGAAAGCGGACAGCTGAGGATCCTGCTCTTGATGATAGCAACTGCTGCTTTGACAGAAAAATTACAACAAAAACAACGCATTCCAGAGTGGCTGATTTACCCCTGAGGTAGCTTCTTTATTGGTCAAAAACACAGCATACAAATATACCACGTGCTTATTCACCTGCTCACCATCACAGTAGCACCTGAGCAACTCCGTGGTATGTGATCTCCATCACAGCTCACAGCATGAAAATGAGCTGAAAAATGCAGCACCAGAGCAACCGAGGGTGAGTGTAACCGGTGCCAAGCTCTGCCCTCCCGAGCTATCCGTGAGTGCTCCGACCTTTCCTTCCGGAACTGCTGCAAAACTCGTCCCATCCCCATGACAATGACAGAGGAGCCAGCAACACACGAACAAATAGAACCACCCAAAAATTTAAAATAAAGGGGAAAAAAACCACAGAATAGTCACGCCGGTGTTTGAACAAGTGAGGCGAACACAATCTGATGCTTTGCTTGACCTCGACATCTAAGAGCTGAGCAGCTACAGTAATGTGTTTCACTACTTGAAACCGTATCTACAGGCCATCAACTTTTATGTGACAAGCATGTTAATTGCCTCAGAATTACATGGGTCCAAGAGCCTTTACATTGCTCTCTTCTGGAGAGCTGGAACTTTACCATGCGATTCCACAGAAGCGATTACATATACAAACGAAAAGCAGATATCATTAGGCATATCGACTTAAAGATGCTCTTCTCCTCTTTGCAATTACAAGTAATATTTGAAATGCTCTGCTCTTCAGCAAATAGCCTTCATTACTGCAAAGTCGCCTATGAAGAAGCATGTCAGTACTGAAATCCTTGTGGTCTGACTTAGAAACAACATCCAGCATAGCCACAGACATTTATTACATGACAGTTTACTAAATGGAAATTTCTTCTCAAGTAATCTTTGGGCAACTTAAACACATTTAAAGACAACACACAAATTATACTTCTTCCAAACAATGAGTTGGTGTTAACATGCAGAATAATACTTGAACAATTTAAGTAGTGTAGCTTTTAAAGCATTTGCAAACCATAGCTAGTATATTCTTTCTCTTGACTACTCAAGGTCTGTTTCCAGGAGATACGGTAGTTATGCAACATGTTAATATTCTAAAAACCACTTTAAAATAAAATGTAATCATACCAATTACGTTTAGATACTTATTTCTTTTTAGTCACATCTCATTAAGCAAAAAAAAAAAATTCCAAATACTACGCATGAGTGACTATGCTTTCTTAATTATTTCTAATATACCGCAAAAAAAAAAAAACAAAAAAAAACCAACCAACCCAAAACAAAACCATACCATCCTAACTTTAAATCAAAACTTTAAAATCTGGGCTAAATCTATCTGAAACTCCACCATTAAGTTATAATAAAACATTAGCAAGAACACGGCTTTAGAAAAATGAAACAGTTATGTCATTTTGCAATTTGAAGTCATTTTAATACCTTCACTTTCATTGTTGCGAGTTCATTTATTCCCCTCCTTCCTTTTTTTTTTTTATTTCCTTTTTATATCACATCAGAAATAACTGCATCAGGTCAGACTGGATGACTACCTATGTTTACTCTAATTGCAGACAAAAGAAATTACAGAAGCCTGGACCAAGACTACAGCAGTTTACAAAAAATAAAATAAGGTTAACAGATATGTCTTTAGGTTAATACACAGGGAGAGTTTCAGCAACTTTAACCATTGTATTGATAGCTCATTTCAGGTTATGCAACGTTTGTTCCTCCCTTCCAGATCACAGAATCATAGAACGGCCTGGGTTGAAAAGGACACAATGATCATCTAGTTTCAACCCCCCTGCTATGTGCAAGGTCGCCAACCACCAGACCAGGCTGCCCAGAGCCACATCCAGCCTGGCCTTGAATGCCTCTAGGCATGGGGCATCACAACCTCCTTGGGCAACCTGTTCCAGTGTGTCACGACCCTCTGTGTGAAAAACTTCCTCCCAACATCTAAGCCAAACCTCTCCTGTCTCAGTTTAAAGCCATTCCACGGTTTTTTGGATGTCTGTGAAAAAAGAAGTGGTAAACATGTTCTCCTCAGTATGTTGTTCAGTTAAGAGTTCCGTTGCAAAAACATGATACTTGCATAGATATAAAAAACACACGATAAAGCAAAATATTTTTAATTAGTAAGCCAATCTTAAATAAATTCACCTAAAAATTAAACAGAACAAGAAGTTGTGTTCTTTCTACAGGAATTTTTTTTAAGCATGTTTTAATAGTCAACTTGAGACCGAAACAATTCATCATTGAACACTCAACAGTTCCGTACACTAAGCTAAGTCTTTTTTTAGTTACATTTTTACATTTTCTTTACAAATGTAACACTTATGTACATTATATATTTCATTTCTACAATTCTTTTACTTTAGTGAAATTCTACAACTTTCGCAGGGAATTTGCTGAAGTCTTTAGTAAATACGAATCATTCCTTTTAAAAAGAAATTCATATAAATGACCAACATACAGCACTGCCCTTTGACATCATGGTTAAGAATCTGAATTCTGAAGGGCTACCATAACAAACGTAAGAAAAAAGGCTTTACCTAATTGTACATTTCATTAAGAAATATCCCACATAGCTACATAAATTCACCAGCTTGCAATAAACAGAGCACCATACCGCTGCACTACTGGAAACGTTATGAACCAATTCAAAGATTACTAGTGAAACAGCTTCATTGCTCCTAGCACTTTTACAGTGAAGTATATCTGCAAAATTCCTCTGGAAATGTATACTTCTCCTTTAGCTGTAAAGTTTCCAGAACAGTTCAGGTTACTACATATTGTGAAGAACAAACACCCACTTCTGCAGCTTCCCGTACGCTTCTCTCGGCCAATGCTACCTGGAGCCGGGTTCTTTTTTTCTGTTCTATTTCTTGTTCACTTACAAATCTGCTGTTGAATATGCAGTAAGAATTCATAATAAGAGAAAGCTGCTTCTGTCCGATCTTCAATTAAGTGCTGAAAAAAATCTGTTTTGGCAGGATTTTCATCCCTGAAAGAACAGAAGGAGGTCTTTTAATCCTAACATTAAGCAAAATGAAATCCACTATTTCATTTACGCAGTAAATTTACGCAGGGACATAAGTGCTACTGAATTTCTAACTCTTCTTTTGAATTTCAGACTCAGCCTAAAGGCGCTACAGAAAAAATGACCCAAAGTTAAAAAGCAATTCTTAGGAAAGAGATCTCAATTCTGCACTACAGCGTCAAACAGCAGCATCTTAGGGTGTTGGACTCGATCTCTAGAGGCCGCTTAACCCCTACAATTCTGTGATCTTTTTAACAGACAACATGAGAGAAAAGCAGGTGATATTTCAAATATCTCATAGTAACGCAAGAATGGAAGCATAAAAATGAATTAGTTTTTCAAAGTTAGAAGTCATGTTGATGGCAACGAGCTCCGAAAACGTTCAACTAAATCTCGATAAAGATTAAAACCAGAACTTACTGATTTCCATTGTGAAGGGGTTTTACATAACAAGATTATATCATCTGGAGCGGGGACAGTATTCAATTTCTTCTGGCCTAGATACTCCAACTTTTTATCAGTGTCAACCACAAGTTGTAAATACGACTCGCCAATAATTACCCAGTATCTAAATAAAATACTTACTTTATTACTTGGAGAACTGGACTTAAAGGCCTGTTGTCTCTAAGCCAGGATATGAAAGACCGTGTCCTTTCTGAAGAAAGTGCATCTATCTCAGGAAGCTGCGTCTGGTTGAAAGAAATTGAAAGAAGTTATCTTTTATTATCAAAATTATCTTAATAAACAGAGCCTGATATTCACAACATGACCCAATGACAAAATAGAAACGGTGGCTATTACAAAATTACTGCACGTAATTTTATATGTAGCCATATTTTCTCTTCAGCTCAAGTACAGAATTTTTGTGTTTATCTATTCTACAGGAAGTAATACACCTTTAACCTAAGTTGCCTTTGAAGTGCCAAAGATTTTAGAAAGCAAGCTCATTCAAGAAATAATCCTTTCAAAAATGCTGCTTTCACATTTTCCCTGCTTTCTTCCCCTTTCAACAGTGTTCCTCTCTATTGCCTTTTGCACTACTGAGAGGTGAAATAAAACTGAAACAAAACACAGAGAAACAAAATCTGAATTGTAAGCAAAGATGACAGCTGACTATTTGATCGGGAATGACCTAAAACCAAACAAAACGTCAGCCTGCTTGAGTCATTCACTGAGATAAATATACTGTCTCTTATACAAGTTGATACAACTTAAGATGACTAATACGGTGAAAAAACTCCACACATTTAAAAATAGTTCTGCTCCTGCCTTTGTAGTAAATGAGTAGAGGATATAGTTTAAAAGCAAAGATGAAAACGTTTGTGTTTTTTTTCTCTCCTTTTTCATTACAGTAAATGCTATCTAACCATCTGATACTTTCTTAACCATCCTCTCTTTTTTTTTTTCCCCGAAAACAATGTCAACTAATTCTACCACCAGTTATAATACAAGGAAACAATTTTAAGTTGCTAATATGAACAAAACAGAAAACCCTTAACAAGCATTCAATTTTATAGCAGTCTTAAAGCTCACCAGTCTTTCTGACCTGTTCTCTTAACTTCCAATTTCATTTGCTCTTTCCCTTCATGCTATTCAAGCTCTATAAGCAGGAAATTTCTTCCTATGCGCTTCCACAAAAACACATTTTGATTTAGCTTTTAGAAATCACAAATGTAACAATTCCATTCAGAACTTTACTCGAGTATCTTAAAAAAGGTCCAAGAAAAATTATCTACAAAAATCCACACTATTTTTGTAAGCCCACGTGCATTAAGAAACCAAATAATCCCACGAAAGCCCCAAAAGCAGTAATATTAATGAACAATTTTTGTCATTCAGTGAACACATGTACATTCCTTCCTTAAAAGCTTTTGACAACTTCTGCATCCTAGGGAGTTGGCAAGAAGTTAGACAGTGAGTTAAAAAAAAAAAAACAACTAATTCTCAATTGCATGATTAAAAACTGACAGTGCACAAGAACTAGATTAAATATAGATTCCAAATGTAAGCACTAAGCAGGACAGATCATTAAATGCTTACCATTCTCTGGGGTATTGACGCATAGTTTGGATATCCAAGGACATCTTTTATGAAGTTGTTATCACAGTTTTTTCCAATCCAAATAAAAAAGTTCTGTAAGATATCAGAATCAGTTTAAATAAAGGTTAGTACTTACATTTTAGAGAAGGAGACAAATAGTAACGTAGTTAGAATATTACCAGGAAACACTGTTCATGCAAATATATCACCTGAGAGCTTTAGTTGCAGTCCACTTCTATATTTATTAATTCAACACTAACTTAGTAATAATTGGATAACCATTTGGAATAAGATTATTAAAAGTAAAAAAAAAAAAAAAAAAAGTTAAAATGCAAATATGGAAAGAGCAAGGATGCAGGACATGTCTATGTTGGTACAGTTAAAGCATTTTACCTTGTAAAATAGAAAACTTAGATCTTGATAAAGTCACACACCGTATCCAATTCTGCACACAGACTTCCACTCTCAACAAGTTACACAAAGCAGCATTTATCAAAACACACTGAAGCCATTACTGCTGACATAAGGGGAGAGCAGCTAGTTTGACATTCACCCTTAGCTCATGAACCCTAAAGTGCTTTCCTTCTACAGCGCCATTGGAGTAGCGTAACATTTTATCGCATTACAAGAGCAGCATGTTTTATACCAGTAAGTGTTTTTAGGGTAATTCCTAAGATTAACTTGAACTGGATTTACAGGTTTTAATCAATTCCTACAACTCCCCTGCTCTTGCAACTCTTACCTCATGTGAGCCACGTACCATAAAACCACTTACAGTTTTGCGTAACTGAGAAAGTACCTCCCTCCATGGCTAAGTGCTTTCTTAGAGACACTTTAGTCCCTCCAGTTTAATATCCATTAAAAGAAACGTTTGAAAATGGAAATCCATTATTTTCAGAAAAGACTCGACATGAACTCTTGGCCAATTTATTTAGTGAAATGAAACATTTTAAAACTTAATATGCAATCTTTATTATAGATGTTCCACAGACCGAAATATGAAAGCCTTACCACTGGAACTAATGTTGAAAACTGGCTGCTTTCAACAATTCGGAGTGCATCTTGAATATATAAAACTAGTAACTTACTGAACCACAATCCATAAGGAAAGCTCCTTCTCTTGTCAACTTCTCTGCAGATAACTTCTGAAGAGGAGGCTGAGGAACAACTCTGTCATTTACATGTATTGTACTCTGTAAAGAAAACAACAGAGTAACACAGTAATGTTAAAAAAAATTCCTATATCATTATTTTTATCTTAACCACATGTGCCAAAAGAGGAAAAAGCACAGGTAATCTCCAGCAACATTTTGAGCATTCTCATGTAAAAACACTACATTAAATCGACAATGATCACATTTATATCAACAAATTCTAACATGTCATTTAACCAAAAGCTTGCTTTATATTATTCTTTTTTTTTAGATGATAAGTTCATTAAACCACATATGTAACTTTTTTCATGCTGTATATTATCAAGCTTACAAAATAAGTCTAGCATCCTATACTTAAACAAAATTTTCTCCAGTCAACCTTCAAAGGTTTTCTCATTGCATTCCTCTTTACTAAACAAATTTTGCAGAAGAAAAGAATACCAAATTCTACTCCTAACAAGGATTCAATATTTTGCATTCCAGTTCCATGATTCAATATCCTCCCTGACATGTTAGAGGTAGCTAAACATAATATATGGGCTTGTCTATGCAGCACTAAGACTGATCTGATGAAACAATCTGCTAGAGCAATGCTGAAGAACACTTAAAACAAACCAACAAGCCAAAACAACATCCAGCTATATTTCAGACTAAAACAGGATATGATAAAGCTAGATAGCTATGAAGAATCCTGTTAAACATTTAGCGAATCACGTAAGGAGAAACACATTCTGGAGGTTAAACACATCCCCACACAGAACAAGACTACAAAAAAAAAAAATCATAACATAAAAAAATTCCATATTACATTACAAAAGAAATCAGGATTTATATGCAAACATGAAAATCAAGCTACTGAAGTTCACTTGTAAAAGTTCCAGGCTATGCTAAATAGTCCAAGAATTGAGTATTAACAGAAAAAATTGCAATTTTTTTTAAAGCTTACAATTTTCTACAGAAAGAGATCCAAGAGCAGCATTTCACACAAATATTTCAAACTGAACTAATATTAAATAGCAAATTAACACTCCTTTACATAATTTAACATGAGGCTTAACTAATATCAGTAGGTAAAATAGACCATATGTTTTATTGTTCCAGTGGAAGCAACTAATCTGAAATCCTTTGCAAATAAAACTGAATCTCCCGAAGAGATTGCTGCTATTGGTTTTCTTTGTTTTGCTTTTTTACAGCACTCAGACACTGAAATACAGCGTTGTTAATGGAACTTGTGCTGAAACAATCTCGATAGGGCTACCTGAAATCCGCTTCTCAAATATGGGGGAACAAAAAATAAAAATCTGAAAAGCCTGACAAATCAATACCGCTGAAGAATATTGTGAATTTTTGGAATAATTTAAAAGAAAGTTTGACAAGGTAAATAGCTTACAGGTTGTGCTGAATAATATTAACTGCCAGAGCAAGCACTCAATTGCCTATTAAGCTTGTATGATACTTAAAAATGAACACTCACATGTCGTCTTTTTTCTTGCAAAGCTCGTGTAAGGGCTGTAACTAAGCATGACTAATCACCTCACGAAAACAATTAAAAACACAACTTACTTACTTTCAGTTACAGCTGCCTTTGCTTATAACTGAAATCTCATCTTACTTCTTACCACTAAAAAAATACATTCATTTTCTAGACTATCTCCGTAGAGGGCAAACAATTAAAAACTAGTTTTCTTCTTAAAATATTTAATCTGAATAAATTTGATATTAGTCTGATCTTGATAGTCTAGACTTCATCCACAGCACAGAAACGACTGAAAGCTGGTTACACCAGCCATCTTGACCTGGTTTCAGTACACAAGACCAAGTATTCTGTACCCATTATATTTCATCCACCTCTCCCCGGACAACAAAAATACACTGGATATGCATCTAATGCATAGAATCTCTGCTTTCTTTATATGATTGAAAACCGTGGAATTATTGTAGTCACTGAAACAAGGTGAAGAAAAACAAAAGTTCTCCTCAGCACATATGTGAAAAATGCCTGGTTTACATTACTGTCAAGACTTTCAGATAAATTACTGTAACACATTAAAATTTAAAAGACACTCCATTACAGCTTGAAAATGTTACAAGTTAGGCCTCATACGTTACCTCATCAATTAACTTGTCTATTCTGTACAGATTGGGATGTATCATTTTCATCAAGTGAACGAGAGGCTGACTCTTTATCTGGCACATTGCATAAACACGATCATCTAAGCGTGTACTAGTGCCTGTTCTAAAAGCTTTCTGTGAAAAAGAAACAAAAAAACATTGTTACTCAAACAAATCCCATGTTTTATGTCACATCTAAATAGCCTATTTCCTAAATTCTGGTAATGTCAAGCACACCTGTCTCAGACGTTAAAAAACAATTTTTTAAATAAAATATTAGCACTACACTAGAAAATTCCTCCAAATGCAACTTGAATAGAATAGCATTACAAAATTAATCAATTATCCCTCCGTACAGAAGAAAAAAGAAGGATTTAAAAAAATGTCTCTATTTCATATAACATTGGTTAATGGTTGGCACTTCTCATTTTCATTCCTGACAAGCCTTACTGGCCTGTGAAATTCACTGACACAATGACCACAGGAAGGTAAGAATCCAGTAGGGTTCGAAAACGATACTTGCAAGGGTAAGATTAAATCTGTTTTTACATTACTAAAAATAAAACGTTAAGGAAAAGCTCTAGGATGGAAATATACTTCCATATTTTGAAGCAGAAATTAGGTAATCAAAGAATAACTTTTATTCTTTAACTCTCCTTACTATTAACATTTAAGCTCTTTTTTAGAAACAACTGGTAAACTACTGCTGTGAGAAACAACACAATGGAGAAAGTGACTGACTGAACGGAGAACGATATTCCTATAATCAAAACACAAATTCACTTCTCTACTGAAGCCATGCATGCCAGTCATTTTTTTTCTTCCAGTTTCAGTTTTCCTTTATTTCAGGCTTTTTTTTTTATTATTGTTAATGGAGATAATTCTAAAACTGCAATGAAATATTTCATAGCCCCTTTAACTTCTAATCCGTCTTTTACACGGATTCTCCTGATATCAAATGGTCATTTTTTCCCCACTCTAACATATGTAATGGTTAAAAAGTCCTAATCATTAGTCACTAAAGTCATCACTACATCAAAGAAAAACTATTTCAATAAGATTTTCAACAGAACTTACATAAAGCTTTGCTTATAATAAGAAAGAACACTCAACTATCAAACAACACTCTTAAAGCTAAGGGATTTACTGAACATAAAAGCCTGCGTATGGTAAGCTCTCATTATATGCAAGTAATGAGTTTTGTGACAAAAAATGAAGACATTTCTTAAAAAAAAAATAAAAAAAGAAAAAGCAGTAACTATTTTTACAATAACTTTAAAACATTCCCTTTTTCCTCTGTAACTAATTTGCTTTCTTAGTACCTGAAAGTACAAAGAATATGCACTGAACACTATTGGTTTTCTTCTTCATAAAATAAAACGAATTACTAGTAAATGGCTTACAACAATCCCTTTGGGCACCATAAATTAGTTGCCCAGAACCTGAGAATTACTGTTACTATATATTTTTATATACTATATATACACACACATAGTAAAAAAAAAAAATCAAACATATATATATATATATATATAAAACTACAAATTAAAGTAAAACAAAAACCTCTTCCAGCACTAATAATTTAAAGTAAGCTAATTTTTGTTTCAGTCCTTCAAGTTCAATTAAACATTTGTATATAATTAATCTATATATATAGTTTTGGATAATAGCATAAGACAGACATTGCTTGATCTAGGTGAAAAATTACTCAAACTGAACCACAATCAAAAATCAATAGCTCTAGCTTATACACACCTGTTTGAGAAGAGCCAAAACGTAGAGTGGAAACAACTTGAGGGAATTTGGTGCTATCAGCATAGACTGCTGCAGGTTTGAGGCAGTTGACATATATGCTGACAAAGAGTCTACCACAGCATTAACTAAGGCATCTCTTGCATCTGGAAGACTAGATGAAACTGAGCGATCCACAGCTGTTGGATAGAAGGACAAGAGAAGTTAGTAGAGTTTATTTGTTCCATTTTCCATAGAGAAACTATCTTTCATGATGCTCAAAGGAAAAAAAAAAAGCGC